TATGGAAAGACACACTGATGCTTAAACATATATACAGTTTGTAGACAACAAACTATACTCCCACCCAGACTACGTCTTTTCCAGGGAAGGTCTTGTGTATTTTAGCAAGACAATGTTAAGCTGCATGCTATTACAACAGCATGGTAAGCCGATTTGCCTGCCTGCAGTTCAAACTTTTCACTAACTGAAACATTTGGTGTATAATAAAATGAAAAATACAGAAAAGAAGGCTCAAGAATACCGAGGAGCCAGAATCCAATATCAGACAATAATGGGACAACAATCTTCTCCCAGAAGTCCAGCATCTGGTCTCCTCAGTTGCCAGATATGTGCAGGCTGTTGTCTAAATAAAGTGATGCTACACAGTGGTAGGCATAGCCAACTTTTTTTAACCATTCTGTTCCTGTGGACTTGAAAATGACTTTTTTATAGGGTACATTTTCTCAGTTTACACATAGTTTGGTGTGTTCTTTTCTGAATAAAATATGGGTTTATGAGATTTGCATATCATTGCATTCTGTTTTTTAATTTGTGTTTTATACAGTGTTCCAACATTTTCAGAATCGGGGTCATAGTCTGTATATGTCTTCTAAATATTACTTTACATGAAACAGTGTTACTTGTAAATTGAACATAAAATATTAAAGTTTACTGTGGCTGTTCTGTGAGGACGATATATCTCTAAATGAAAAGCTATTAGAGTTCAGAAACGCAGCCCTACAGCTTGATTTTAAAAAGTCGTTTAAATATGTGTATGAACAGGAAGGTGATATATTAGCAAAACAGCTGGTTAAACTTAGTATGTAAACTTAATAAGCAAACTTGCCTGTTTTATTAAACCGGATATGGTAGCAGCTGGCACTCCTCTTCCTTAAGGCTTTCTTTGCTAATGTGGTAAAGCAATTATTAAAAACCTTTATTAAAAACACTGCACAATAAAACTTATTTGCTACAACAGTAATTCGCAGATTGATGGTTTTCTTGCAAATGCTAGCTCCATTTCCACAAAGCATAGACAGTGAAAGCAGACCCAGTGGCAGATTGTCTAACACAGTCTCTGCCATCAGTTTCCTGTCAGAGTTACGGGTTAATGCTGCTGGTTTCTCAGCTTGACCTGCTCAAGTTATTGTTAACAGGACAAAAAGTTGAGCTTGAGCGCAGACGTGCCTTCAAAATGCTTATCCCATAAAGATGTCTCTGAGTCAAGCAGAGTTAATCCTGCTTCCAGAGACAATAGCCAAATGAGACCAATAAAAGCCAGTAATATACAGGAAGTGCCAAAATGGCAAGAAAGCCTTACTTTTATCTGAGAGGAAAGCAGAATGGGATTGATTCTGCTATGTTTTAATTGATGTTTTTAGATTTTACATCATGATGATCATGATCATTTTTATACATGCAAATATTTAATACAAACTAAAACTACATGGAATCTCATTATACTTCTCATTATTAAAAAAACAGACTGAGTGTCTGAAAATTATCTGTTTTTCCCTTTAAACAGGAAGCAATGCGTGGGTGAACTAAAAAACATTTATACATACAGGTTTTGCTCGTTGTTTTAAAGTTGTATGATAGCATGCTAACATTTGGTGATTAGCACCCACATTACCTGAGGGAATTTTATTTTGATGTGGTTGGATGTTTCAGGTGTTAAGATTTTTTTTCATATAAGGATGTTTTCTCCTCAATATTGAAAATTTGGACCAACTTTGTTAGATAAACAGTCATCAAAATGCACACATTAACTGACATCAGTCTCTCTATGTGAGCCAAAGAACTGACAAAGAAGTTCTTTGTGTGTTTATGTAAGTGCAAAAATAAAAGCACCCTGTACTCCCCATCCCACCCACCTACGCACATATGCATCTACTCACACACACACACGCAGGTTGATCTGCACTCCAAGGGGCCAGCTCCCAGTAAATGGATTGCTGGGCCCATTGATTTTTTTTTTCCCAGTGCCAGGCCTCGACCAGTAAGCCTATTTGATTTGGTTGGCTGTTATCCTGCAAAGCCACCCCCCCACACACACACAAACACACACTCACCCCTCCTCCCCTCTTTCCAGTGCCGCCGGCAGAAGCATCAGCGCCGATCGATGCACCGAGCTTTAGAGGAAACAAACTCAGCCACATGATAAGACACCAGTGGTGGAGAAGCCTTGAGATTATAGGCTCACTCTTTGGTTCATACTGGGGGGGTTTGGTACGTGTGTGTGTGTGTGTGTGTGTGTGTGTGTGTGTGTGTGTGTGTGTGTGTGTGTGTGTGTGTGAGTGTGAGAGAGAGTGAGAGAGTGAGAATGGTTATATGTGTCTATGTTTGTAGCTTGGGCTCTCTTTTTGGCGTGCATGTGTATAACAGGTGTGGCTGTAATGGTATTTTGATGCGCGTGTGGATTTTCAGGATGTGTTAAGGCCTTTAGGTGCTTGTGAGAGGAGCTTCAGTATGTGTGTAAGTGTGCAGTAGTGAGGTAAGGTGCACCAAAGTGCATGCTTTTGGCACAAAAGCAGGCTCAATTGACTCGAATGTGTGAGAGCTTGTGTGAGAGTGTGTAAGAGAGAGATCTGAACTCTGGCCCTGTGAGCAGGCCTGTTCTTTAAATCTGTTGGGATCAATTCCAGCTCCCTGCCTTAATGTCGGCAGAGTAGTTCTCAAAGTAGGAAAATAGATTTCTGGCCCTGAACTCTTCCCACCAGGATTCTCTCTCTCTATTGTCTTAAGCTCCTCCACTTGCTTGCTCTCTTTTTTCTTTTTGTCTCTATTCTCTGTCATCTTCCCATTCTTGCTTTCTGTTTTCTCCACTTTTTTCCTTTTTATATTTTCTTCATAAAATAAATTTCAGATTCACAACAGTATTCTCTGCTAGTAAATCCACACTGTGTCCAGTGGACCTCAGTACATTTTTACAAAGAAGCACTACAGGTCTTCAAATGGTTCAGCTAGTTACTCATTAGCTTTGACTTATTTCTGTTGCATCTCAGACGTTCAACAACAACTTCTGCTACTGTTGACTGGTATAGATTATTTTAAAAAAAGAATAATCTTTTACATCACGTGGATGGTCAGGTGAACGTACATTACTTGCCTGGGAACACCTGGCATCAGGATGGACTGGGAAGAAGCTAAGCCAGTGGAGGCAGTGTGGTCCTTTGGGCAATGTTCTGCTGGGAAACCTTGGGTCCTGCATCCATGTGGATCGCTTTTACATGTAACGCCTACCTAAGCATTGTTGCAGATCATGTACATCCTTTCATGGAAACAGTATTCCCTTATTAGCAAAACACTGGTGTCTTGCTGTATTTTCTGTAGTAGTCAAAGGAATTGAACTGTGTATTTTTATTGTGTCTGTGTTTCTACTCCTCCTTTGCCTCCAAAGACATCAGTTTAACTGATAAAACTGTGACTGTGTCGACTATCACCTTAACAAGTGAAATATATAAAAAAAAAAGAGCAATTAAAACAGAAGCTCACCTGAAATACGACTCAGGATATTGCAAATGCATTTTTTTAAATCTTACTTACAAACTTACTCATTATGTAAGTTTTCCTTGTATGAGGAAAACTCTCCTCCTCTAAATCTAGTGAAAAATGTGCTTTAAAATGTAATTAGCAGATTTTTTTTTTTAAAGTCACAAAAAGTTGAGGCATTTAGGAGTGTGCACCTTAACTGTAGCACGATATTCCCAGCGGTATTTTTAACCTAATTTCTGTCAGGCAGGCTTGCGAGCTCTTGCTGATTAAGTTTCCCTCCAGCTGCCCGTAATGTAGGCCACAAACATTTTGGTGATTTATACAGCTGTACCTGAGGCAGCAAACGGTGATGGATAGCATGAGGTCAAAGTTTGCTGTCATCAATTCGGCACAAATGATGTTTTCATCAGCTGGTCTTATCCTCACAATCACACAGGCTTACATTAATCTCAGCATAATAAACTTCCATCAGAGGCCTTTTCCTGCAGTTTGCCTTCATTATTTCCTGGATTTTGCCAGTTATGTGCTTTGCTGGGATGCGTTTTTTTGGCGTGAGACTGTTTTTTATCTTCTTTTATTGTGAGGCGCATTGCAGAAATGTCCCCGCAGTGCAGAGATTTGTTTAATATGAATGATTTGTCTGTGCCTGTGTGTGCTGTAAAGTAACAATTTAGGTCACTGTAGTACCCAGCGAAAGGCTGAGCTTTACTAAAGACATCACATCAGTGCAAAGAATTAACTTTAGCATAGATGGATGGTTTGGGAGGGGAGCGCTATCAAACGTTGTTTTAGGCAATTTAGAGCAGTGTGAGGGAACATCCGAGGGTAGCCGGTGTACTGAGACGCTCACTGTTGTATTCCGGTGTGCTTCCAGCTGAACGAGATGATCCGAGCTCCTGTTGAAGGGGATTTCTGGCAGGTTGACCACATCCGTCCGGTCTACAGCGGAGGAGGCCAGTGCTCTCTGGACAACCTGCAGACACTCTGCACTGTCTGCCACAAAGCCGTATGTGCACACTCCGCATCACAGCACCCATAACAACCGCAGCACCAGCTTTTAAAGCCAAAGGGCTTAGGGGGCAAAAGCAATTTGTCTAACATTTTAAGGTGCACAGCAGATGGAGCTCTCCTTTATCCCTGTATAAAGAGAAAGCGCCATCACTCATGTTGAGGATCACATGTGCTGGCAGTAATGTGATACATGGTCAAACACATTGATCAAAAGTCATATTATCCCTCACAAAGCTATATACTGCCTATAATAACATCACATGATGTGGCTGTGTGACATTTTGATGTATAGCATGCGTTGGAAAATGCTATATATCGGCCTCTTCCTTCTTGCACTGCTTCAATATTTCATATTTTCAGTCAGCCACTTCTTAAAAGCAGATCTGATTTGAGAAGAAACTTTTCAAAATAAGACACAGCTTTCACCGTGAGCTGAAATGTGCTTTGCTTTCACACCAGAATGCTTTTTTCTGTCAGCTTGGAAGGAAACGCTTCACATGTTGACGTATGTAAACTGAAGCAAAGCACTGCGACTGATAAGGGGATCCTCGCACTGTTTATGCCCCCTCTCAGACACTTTAATCTAGAGATGCTCGATATATCGATCTGACTTTTCTGCGCTGACTGCAGATGTAACCTCTTACATCATGTTCCATTTTTCTCCACAGAGAACAGCTCAGCAAGCCAAAGAACGAAGCGAGAGCAGGAAGAGTGCTGCAGCTTCCAAGGTTTCGTCAGACATCAGCAGGTTCTTCGTTCGGAAAGAAAACAATTAGCTGGGACCTGTTACGCTTTCACTTATTGTCAGTTAGGGATAGAGCGATCCAATACTTGGATCAGATAGCCTGACACCAAAAGCTAGATCAGACATCCGTGACAGGGCTTAGCTATGCTCTTCAGGTCTATCATGTTTTGTGTTTACTACCCCACGCATCGGCAGCAATCTGCTAACTTCCAGCAGTCAGCTAACAGCAAAGCAACAGTAGTTCAAAGTGTTTCGCTACAGCAACACCAGTTTGTCTTAATATGCGTACAAGTGAGTTGGCACGACTGAAGAGCTTCAGCGACAGCAGTTCGGTCTGTTTCTCTTTCTCGTTCATTATGTTTGGTTTAACACTTGTTTGGAAGCTTTTGCGTCACTCATGGTAACTTAAAGGAAATTAAAGGAGAAACTGTGACTATAAATTACAGCACTGTGCTGTAATTAATCCTACACAAGGTTGAAATAACGCTAATGCAAATAAATGTTTTTTTAAAGCATAAATACATTTGTCTTTTAATACTTTTCTAATGAATAGGTCGATAATCTTCTGTCTCACTCCTCAGAGTGAGAAATACACATTATTGATTTAACACTGGACCTGGTAGCAGCAGATACCTGAGGCCAAGGTATCAGTGTGGTATTAGAAGTGGAAAAAGTTAGACTGGTGTATCCCCAGTTACAGTCCTGGATGCTCATATGAAACATTACCAAAGTGGTTAGAAAATGTGCAAAGTTCCAAAAGTTCAGGCTTCAGATAAACAGCCACTTTTTAGATGTTTTCTTTCTGCTCTTTTCTTTGAGAGTCGATATACGTGGTGTTATCTCAGCTACACGACTATGGTCACAGAAACTCAACCCACCTGTTCAAGAGGGGCAGCCAATCAGGAGATAGTCAGCTTAAAGGGAAAGAGAAGACAGTATAAATAATGGACGTACAATCCTTGACCCCTGTGTTTGCATGAACACTTCTGGTCTTATAGAACTTCATCAGACAACAACCAGCAGTTATAACCTCGTCAAACACTTTGTTCAGTCACTCGACCCTTTGCTATTTGCTTAGTAACTCATTTTTAGGTCGTATTGAACAGAAGATTAGGTCCATTTTATAAATTTTAATGGATATATGAGTCAGAAAGGAGGAGCTAAATAGCTAGTCATAGGCAGGCTTAGCTCGGGACATCACGACCAAATGAGTAATGTCCATCTTTTATACTGTATATGGAGAGAAGTTATCTAAAACGGCTTGTTTCAGGCAGCAGATGAGCCGATGGGCAAAACCAGTGGGAAGGATAAATATAGATTATTTTGAACTGTGCAAAGCCACTAGACCCTAACTGCAAGACAAAAAAACAAACGAGAGAAACAGAAGAGGAAAAGCAAAATAGGTCCCCTTTAAAGGTTTGGTGCAGTTTGCACATGTAAAGGTGTTTATTCAGTTTACATAAAGACGCACTGTGTGAAGTATCAGAAGTCCCATTTGCCGTGACAGATGAGGATACAAGGCCTTTAAAGATTCTGCCTAGCTTTCAGATGCTCTCATCTGCGTCCCACTGGACCCCATTACGTTGGAAGATCTAGTAGTGGAGATTTACCTTAAAGAAAAGTGCAGTGACGTCTGCATCAAATGCAAATTCAGCCAACTCCCCTCTCGTCCCCGAACCGTCACAAGTGCGGTAGTTTTGATTTATGACGCCCCCTTCCCTTTTTTTTTTTTTTGCTTGAGGCTGAAATGGAGCAGGTTGTTTAGAGAGATGCTGCTATTTTAAGATTTTGCAAAGTTGGTGAAAAGTAGCAGCTCAGAGATGAATTGCGAGCTTTGTGATTAAAACTCTACAGCAGCAAACACACCCAGGTGTCCTCATTGGTGCGATCAACAAGTGTCGCCTTGTAAATCTTTTTTTTTCTTTATGAAAGATGGATGAGCACTCTCTGATGGAATGAGAAACCTCTTTTCACCTTGTTTCGTTTCTTCTTCTCCCGCTCTGGCGCTGTAACCGGTTTGGACTGTAAATACAGCGAGCCGTCGGCCGTTCCGACAAGCTCGCAAATCGTTTCATCGCCTCAAGTCAGGAACATTATCGTCCATGTCCACGCATCTACCTCCTCTTCAGCTGTGCTTGATGATCTGAGCAGAGCTAAAGTCAGTCAGGAGGGCTATGTTTAGAGACAGAGAGCAGAGTTACTATGGAAACAAGGCTTTAGGTTCAGCCATGTTGGGAATATTGAATCTGTTCTTGTGAGAGTTATACAATGAGCTAGACAGACATCAGAAACTCCAATCAATACCAGCAGCCTCCTGCGAGAACGAGGCCCTCGCATTCCTCCGCAGCGCGGTTTTACCTCCCCTCTCCGCTCTGAGGTTCCACCGTCGACGTTTTAGGGTGTCGTCATGTCACGATTTGCCTGTCTGTCAGCCGTGTCAAACGCCTAACTCAGCACATTCTGCCGTCGCAGAAAAGTTTTAAATTTTTCTGACAGCCCCCCCCCAACTTCTCTCAGCCTATCAGCTGAAGACGCGCTTTAAACTTTCTCTGAGCCCATGTGGGTGCACGAGTGGGTGTATGTGTATTTCCCCTACGGCTGCTCCAGGTCTCCACTTAATAAGACCGTTGTTCCTCTCCTGTCCAAACCGACAAGCTTTGTGAGTAATGAACATCTCCCAGGCAGCCTTCCAACAACAGCAGGTTTCAGTGTCAGTCCCTGTCAGCAGCCAATGACTCTGATCCGCTGTTTTATTACACCCAAAAGGTGTGTGTGCGGCAGAGAGAAAGTGAGGAAACTAGTGCGAAAGTGTGGCTGAGTGTGTGTGCTGCTCAGATTAAGCTCGTGTGTTTGGCAGAGGGAAAGTGTATATTGGACAGGAGAGGAAGTGGTGTGCATGTGTTTGTCAGAGGAAGCCATAATGAGGCAGCGCCCAGATGAAGATATCTTGCATTCCTCCCAGAGGGTCTGCTGGGTAAAGAGCAGCGCCACAGCCGCGTGACACTGTTTGCGTTGGACAACCTATCAGCCCAGAGAACAACATTACCTCCACGGGTGATGACAGTAATAAAGATGGACTCAAACACCGACCGAGGTTTGCCTGTTTGCTTTCCGTCTAACGTGCTGCCCGCCTTCCTCTCACTTTTTGAAGTTGGCATCAGAGCAAAGAAGAAAAAAATCCAACTTGCTTTTTTTTCCTCCATCAAGTGAAATCGACATCCTTTCCACGGTGCCCCTACCGCATGGACCTTTCTGCAGGTTACATAGCAACAGAGCATACAGTGAATGCCGTGTGGATAAAATTAGCTGGACAAATATCTAGCAGAAATAATCACATGTAATTACAAGATCACAATATAATGTCAAAAGAAGGATGGAAGGGAAAGAAAAACAGCGCCATCTGACAAACATACAAAGCACAGAGAAACTGCTTTTAGTGCTTCTCATTACTTTATGTTATACGCTATGTTATACACATTTACATTTCATCTAAATATGGGGGGAGTTTCACATTATAAGGTCTGGATATCCAAAAGATCCAAAAAGTTCAGTCTCCTCCAAACACCCAGTTTCAGAGTATTTTTTCTACTTTTTGATCTGTGTGATGTCAGTGAGAGCAGATACAGCTGTAACCTGCCAATTCAAGCCAGCCAGTTAGACAAAAAGGTGGCTCATGCCTCACTCACACAGGCCTAGAGACTTGTCGGTGACCCCTTGGTGACCTTTGGTTGCTTGGAAAAATTTCTATTCCCTGACCTGGAATGCTGGCAGTGAAAAACAGCTGAAATCAGTCACATGACAGATGCTGATTCATCTGCAGACACTTGCCCTTCACTCTCTGCGTTGTAGTGCAATTTGAAAAAGCGAGCTCACCTTTAAAGTAAAAGTTGTCTTACCTCTGCAACGGAAAAAGGTGCTTTCTGTTTTGCATTACACGTTTCACATTTTCTCTGTTGAATTCAATTCAGTTTTGTTGATATAGCACCAAATCACAACAGTTGCCTCAAGCTACTTTACATTTTATAGTAAAGACTCAACAATATTACAAATTACAATCATACAGGTGTATACGCCATCAAGCACATTTTATTTAGGCAAACACTTGGTGACAGTGGGGAGGAAAAACTCCCTTTTAACAGGAAGAAACCAGGTTCAAAAGGTGCCCAGAGCAATCACGAGGACGTTTTGGGTGCAGCAATTTATACCTCTTTGCACCCACTTGAAAACCTCTCACAAATACACACTTCTCCCTAGCAACCAGTGGTTGCCAGGGGAGATTTCTAGGACCACTGGCTCATTTCTGGGCTTGAGTGAATTTGGCTTTAGCAAACAATTTAACAGCAAACTCTAGCAGCCACTCACCAACTGGGCGGAGGAAGACCTCTTCCCTAACAACCATTGGTTACCAGATGGTCATGAACTGATCTCTAGGCCTGGGTTACTTGAGCCTTAAGGGGAGGGGGAGGGGCTAAAAAAAAGGCTTGATGGAAAGCACCCAGGGTCAGTATAAGAAAAATAACTAAGAATAAAAATATGAAGCTGGAATTTAGCATATTAGTTTTTTCCCCTTTAAACGATTATTGGGTTTAACATTTAACACGTTTCTTTTCTGATTTAAAAAAGATTATATTAAACCACCAAACCCAGCTTAACTTTTCTTGAAAGTTTTGTGTGTTTATGAAAGTTGGATACATAATTTCTTTAGGCTGCTGTTTTCAAAACCCGAACACATCTGGGGCGCCTTTAGCTTTCACAGTGTTATATCGAATCTTTTAAAGTGGTGTTAATAAATAAACCTGAAGGTACGACTATCGCTACAAGCTAATGTAGCATGCTTTTATTGCTGACCGGTGTCGAGGGTAACACATTACTGTAATCACATTCCATTTGTCTGTAACATATTAGTTTCTTTATACAGCAATCACATTACAGCTACTAATTATACAAATACATCAGTTGTGCTCTGTAGGTATTTAATCTGCATCACTGGCAGGTAGAAATATGCTGACCTCGGTTAGTGCAGCAGATAACACACAGAGGGGAGAGCAGTCTACAAGTTTGAAGAACTGTTTTGAATTTGTTGTGTTCAGGGACGTTTTCAGGATTGCGCAGCTGGAACCAAGAGCAAAGCATCAGGGGGGCGCGGGAAAACAGAATGGTTGATCAGACATAAATATGGTGCAGAAAATTGATGTAGAAAACAGTGAGGAAGGTGCACTTTCCAGCCTGTGCCTTCATACAGATGGTATTCATGAAAAGCGGGACGGCACGAGAGTTTAAGATGCTTTTTTATGTGTGTCAAAACAAGGATTTAGACCTTTAAGACTTCATAATCCTGTTTAAGTAGCAAAAAATTACAAAGGTTTAATACATTATACGTAATAGCCCTTTTTTCACACCCATAATCCTGTTGGTTCATAATTCCTGATTAATTATTTGTGTATGACTTTAACATGCAGCTGGAGATGATTTGAATTCATTCTATAAAGC